AGGAGGAAGAAGGAGGAGGAAAGGGGAGCGGAGGAAGGAGGAGGGGGAGGAGGAAGAAGACAAGAAAGCACCCTTGTCTGCTTTCTCAGCCTCGACTCTCTTGGCCTCGAGCTCCTCGAAGAAGCTCGCAGCAGACTCGGCGCACTCGCGGGGGGGGGGGCCCTCGGCTTCTCGCGAGAGCCCGGGACCTCGAAAGGCGAGCTCGCCAGACCCCAGAGGCTCGACAAGCTCGTCTGCTTCGTCGGCGCGGCCATCGGAGCCTCGCCGCAAAGCTGCGATGGCTCGAAGCACAAACGCTCGAGCCAACGTGGCTGCGGGAAGTTGCAGGCTTCTGGCCGTTGTTGGATTGTCCTCGTTCGCTGCTCGTTGCTACCATTTTGTTGTCAGCGTTATGTTGTCAGCTTGCCGTTCGTAGTTTATTGTTGTTCGCTTGTCGTTGTTGCTTCTCTTGTTGCTGTCGTGGCTTGCTGTTTCGCTGGTTGACGGTGCTGCTCTTGTGCTTGCTGTTGCTTGTGCTGTTGTTGGTGGTGCTATGTTTGTTGCTGGTTGGTTTTGCTGTTGCTTGTGTTGTTGCTGCCATTGCTTGCGCGCGTTGTGCTGCTCGCGCGTGCATTTGCTCTTGCTGTCGTCGGTTACGTCGCTCTGGCCCCTGTCTCTCGCTCATTCTTTGGCACCGTCGAGGCCGGTGGTCGCCTCGCTCAGAGCCCCCAGCACCCCGCCCCCACTCTGCCCGAAAGCACCTCGCTCAGGAGCTCCAAGCGGCTCGCGAGGCCTATATGATGAGTCAGGGCTTGGAGCCGAGGCAGGAGGCGAGGCAGAGCTCGGCACCGAGTGCAAGGCATCGCGCTGCCTCGTCGTCGAGGGCGCGCAAAGGCGGCCACGCTTTTCTCGGGCTCGACCTTGCAAGAGTCCAGCTTGAGCCCCTCGTCCTCGGGCATCTTGTCGTCGAAGCTCTGGCCCTCGAGCGCGCTGGAGTTCTCCAGCTTCCTGTCCGAGAGCATTCTCTCGGAGTGCACGTTGTCCTCGAGCTCGCTCTTGTTCTGAAGCTTCTTGCCCCCCAGCTTGCAGGGGCCCAGCTTGAAATTATCGCCCTCAAGCTTCATATCGTCGAGGCCCCTGTCCTCAGGCATGATGGCGCCCTCCTCCAGCGCGTTTGCTTGCGTCTCCTCGCTCTGGTCGGCGCCGTCCTCGGCCTTCACCTCCTCGAAAGTCTCGGTCTGCGCCCCGTCTGGCGCCCGCTCGTCGCCCTGCGTTTGCTCGACGAGGGACGTCGGCGAGACGACGCTCTCGCCGTCCGACCGCTCGGCAAAAAGCCAGGAAAACGCGCGGCGATCGTCGCTGTCCGACTCGGCCACCCACGCTGCCGGAACGGAAAAGGGGCTCAGAATGCTCGATCCTACACGGGCCACGGAAAGGGCTGCGCCCTCAGCGGGCTTGACCCGAACAGCGCTTGCACCGCAGAGCTCGCGCCCATTGCACCACATAGCTTGCGCCACCTCGGCGATGCATCAGCGGGCCTCAGCGATGCATCGGCGCTGCGGTGGGCTCGGCCCGTGATGTTGTGGCAGCTGTTGTTTGTGCTGCTGTAGTTTGTCTTGTTGTTGTTGTGGCCTGCTGTTGCTGTTAATTTGCTGGTTGATGTTGCTGTTGTGGCTGCCGTTGTTTGTGATGTTGTTGTTGTTGTGTGTGAGTGTATGAGTGTATGTGTGTGAATGTGTGCGTACGCGTGATTGAGTGAGTGCGTGCGCGCGCGTGTGTGTGATGTATATGCATATGTATGTGCGCGCGTGCGTGCGTGCGCGCGTGTGCGTGCATGTGCGCGTGTGTGTGTGTGTGTGTTTGAATGTGTGTGTGTGTGTGTGCGTGCGTGTGCGTGCGTGTGCGCGCGTGTTCTGCGTTTGTGAGCGCGCGCGTCTGCGCGCGCGCGTCACCGCTAGGCGTCGAGGCTCGATCCTCGATCCTCGGATCGAGGTCCCAGGATCCTCGAGCCCAAGCGCGGCGATCCTCGGATCTAGGATCCGAGGTCTTCGCAGAAGCTTGGAATCAAGATATCGGACCCCCGATCTGGGGGTCGAGGATCGAGCCTGCTTGATGGCAGTCAGGGCCCGAGGACGGCGACGAGGGATATCTACGATCGCCGAGGCTCGATCCTCGATCCTCGGATCGCGAAACCGAGATCTTCGGGCCCAAGCGCGGCGATCCTCGGATCTAGGATCCAAGGCGCTCGAAGATGCTCGGAACCAAGATCTCCGGCGTTCGATCCAAGGATCGAGGATCGAGCCTGCTCGACGGCAGTCTGGGCCCGAGGACGGCGACGAGGGATATCTACGATCGCCAAGGCTCGATCCTCGATCCTCGGATCGCGAACCGAGATCTTCGAGTCCAAGCATGGCGATCCTCGGATCTAGGATCCAAGGAGCTCCAAGCTGCGCGGAACCAAGATCTCGGACCCTCGATCCGGGGATCGAGGATCGAGCCTCCTCGATGGCGGCCTGGGCCT